AAAACATTATTGACAAGAAAAAGGACTCTTGATTCAATTAGATTTAAGCTTAAATCAAAAGGAAATCCGCTCAAATGGGCCTGTTGCAAACTTTTGCTAGAGCAAAACTAAGAGTTGTTTCTTACAGATAATGCCTCAAAAACCACGATGAGCGCATCGGCAAAGTCTGAAATGCACTCATAATTTCACAATCTGCGTAAGAAATTTGCGGTTTTTTGAGCTTCCCGCTTCGAAAACGATACTACGGTACAGGTGAAAATATTGTTAGAGGAGTCGTTCCATTGGCGGCAATACTCATCATGGCCGACGCCAGTCCGCCAAAACACGTGTGATGGGACGAGATAACACCTGAACAGGATTAAACCAGATAACAATCGGCGTGTTTACGTTCATATTTTCCTCGCCCGCCTTAATTGACCTTGAACTCTCCTCGAATTACGCGAGGAACTGCGCAAGCGTCGGCCATGATGAATATTGCCGACGATGGAGCGACTCCTCTAACAAAATGTTCACCTGTGCAGTAGAATCGTTTTTGAAGCGGGAAGCTCAAAATAACGCAAATTTCTTACGCAGATTGTGAATTTGTAAGTGCATTTCAGACTTTGCCGATGCGCTCATCGTGATTTTTGAGACATTATCTATAGGAAACAGCTCCTCATTCTGCTCTAGCAAAAGTTTGCAACAGGCCCATTAAGAGGCTTGGTTCTTGATTTAAGCTTAAATCTGATTGAATCAAGAGTATTTTTTCTTGTCGAATTTTTAAGAGTCTGGACTCTAGATCCAATGTGTTTTTTTTTCCCAGTGAAAGGATGACTGAGCCACCAAAGGCATCAAAAAATCGTCGCGGAAACAGCACCTCAAGTCGAAAAGAGAGAGAGAGAAAATGGGACCAAAAGGAATCTCATCAAGTATGGGGAATCTGATACTCACGCACACACAGGCGCGTAACGAAGTTGTAGAAAGTCGACTTCCCTTGTAGTTTGCGGAAAGATGTATTACAAGAGTGACTAGGCGCGTGGCGTGATTGATCGGTGACGTGAAGGATTATTTTGTATCTAATTTCGGGGATTTCATCCCCTTCCGCTTCCGTGGCTTCGATTTAGGTGCGATCCCGCTCCTGCACCACCCCTAGCGTCCCTCGACCACCCCCAGGACCGCGGCGACTGATAAGTCACGAGTGAGGACTGGCGCTCCCCCGAGGACTGACCCCAGGGGATAACTTGATGAAGAGAACTTGTGTGGACACGACAACATTGCCACGTTGACATTATTTCGACAGGCATTTGGGAAAGCAGAATTTTTTTAAACGGAGACTTCATCGTTGAAACTGACATCTTCACCCTCTGGCCAAAGTATCACAAGCTCCATGCGACGTTTCAAAATTTCCGCCGCCATTTTATTTTTTACAGAGAAATTGTTGAACGGAGCTGTTCGAAAGTTTCACTGAATTTTAATCTTTGCCGTCAATGAAATTCAGAGTGATTTTCAAACAGATTCAACCAACATTATTTCCTCTGTAAAGAAATTAAATGGAAGCGGAAACTTTGAAACATCGCATGGAACTTGTGATACTTTGACTGGAAGGTGCGATTTGACGCTTCATGTCAATTCTGATGATTACCACAGCGGTCCATAACCTTTTAAGGGTCATTCATGGATACGCCTCCTTGGATTTCAAAATTCCCTGAATTTTCAGGCAATATCAAGTCATGTCTTCCAACATTAAGACGGACGAACAACACTTTCATGATTCCAGCAACATCTATTGTCGCAGTTTTGAATTTATATACCTTCCAGAATTCCTCGAATTATTTCAGTGCTCAACTCCGCGGTTTTTCCTGTTGTTTTCTTTAAAAAATGAGGGGGAGGAGGTTCTGGGCTCGCGTTGTGTTGTTCAACAGGTGGAAAGGGTTTCCAGACTGCATTACGGGTGCATTACGACGAGAAGGGGCGGATAATAAATTCGGCACCGATGCGAAGTGACCATGACGTGGCCGACGACTGATGTATGATCTCGTGCGTCTTTTGATTAGCCCTGAAACAGGCAAAAGTCCCGCTTCCTCCTCACATCAGTTTCATCGTTGCCAAGTTCACCTATAAACCGCTTCTTTTTTCAATTAGACGTTCAACTCCTGAATAATTATCCCCCAGCCTGGCGATTGACGTCGCACAGGGGATCGAGTCAATAGGAGAGGTCGGACAAAATTTAGAAACTTTAAACGCCTTTAACTCTGTTTATACGAAACTTTGAGGTTCTAAAAGTGGTTCCATTGGTGAAATTTTCTTCTTTTTTTCTTTTTTTTTCCTACTTCAAATAGCCCACAAGGGCTAATCCCACGCTTTAAGTCCCATCCCCCCTCCGTCCCCACTGAACCAGTCCCAGGCAACCATTGTTTGAGACCATCAGACTCGGGTCGCCTGGCCGGGAATCGAACCCGGGACCTCCCGATCATAGAGCAAGCGCTACAACCACTACACCATAGGAGGCCGACACCACTACACCATAGGAGGCCGACACTGAACACATTCTACTGCACGCACCCCTTGAAATTTAAAATGTGACGAAATAAACGTCAAAATTTGCAGTTTTAGTCAGAGGTTTCATGTCCGACCTCTCTGATTGACTCGATCCACTGTGCGTTGGTGACTTGTGACTTGTTGCGCGCGGAGGGGCCGCACTCGGAATGTCGAGGGGGAAATCCGACCATTTCCGAACAGCCGGATGACAGTCACGAGATGGCGCCTGTCAACTTTTTTTAGTCTTTCTGGCACCTCGAGCACTCTACCTATTTGTAAGAAAAGAACTGAGGCTCGCGTTAAGATGTTACAAGATGACCCACAGCTAAGTAGAAGTAGTAGTAGTAGAATAATTTTATTTTAAAGCGGTGCTTTAGCATCTAAGGCCATTTACACCTCTAAAGAGAACATTGGTAATATCCTGAGAATGAAATTACGCACTATACGTACACTGTATTACACTGGAAGAAAAAACACATTGGATCTAGAGTCCACACTCTTAAAAACATCGACAAGAAAAAGTACTCTTAATTCAATCAGAATCTAGCTTAAATCAAGAAGCATACCTCTTAATTTAAGCGGATTTCCTTTTGATTCAAGCAAAAATCCGATTGAATCAAAAGTATTTTTTCTTGTAAATGCTTTCAAGAGTCAGGACTCTAGATCCAATGTGTTCTTTTTCCAGTATAATCTGGGGGTCAGAGTTGATGCAGAAGTGTTTACGGTGAGAAGTATATCTGCAAAGTCAAATTCTACGAACGCCGAGAGAGCGAATGATAACGTTTTTTGCGATCTTTTGCGCGTCCAAGTTAGGTGTTTTTACAACTTCTTCTGGGAAAATCTGGCGCACACAACCTCCAAAAAATTGTCCACGGTCGCGGGAAATTTGAATAGATTTGATGCTAACTCCGCAAATTGTGTGTTACGAAAAGGATTTCGGACTTGCCTCGTGCGCTGTTACTTATTTTCTTGCAATTTTACGTTTGAAGAGTCAATTCATCGATCTACAATGCTTGCGTACACCGAACTCATTTCGCGAATACAATTCAAGAGAGGCTAAAACTGAAGCAGACAGGATACTTGGCAAGTTTCGTTTTTCTGGCGAGAAGGAGGGGACTCAAGAAACGAGATATCGCAGACCGCAATTTAAATGAATGAAAACTTGGAGATGGAAATAAAGCACGGATGGGAATAAAAATATGATTGCCGTTCTTTCATTGTTTGTATTAGAATGAGCGGGGATAGTTAGCGCGATCACTAAATCAACTTTGTGGCCGCGTCCACAGCAGAGAAGTAAAATAAGCAGTGGCGTCGATGCCAAAATAAGAATATTCTCAAATGCTCGAGAGAGACGATAGGCGAAAAAAATATCGACTCATGTAAAAGCTGGCTCAAGAAATACGACCCGAGGCGAGGCGGGGCGAGGCGGGAAATACGTAGGATGCGAAAACAGAGGAAGACCAAGCTATGTACAAACATCCAGTGCTGCGCGTTCGTATGACATTTTCCCTCTGATTAGGGATTTGGCAAGCTGCCGGAAAAAACAAACGCAGAGAGATTTCGAATCATGTCTTCATTTTTAAACGATGGCGAGAAGATCAATATCCCCTTCGAGTAACAACACTGCGTGATTCGCAATACTATTGAAGGACTTGGAGGACAAGGCGCATAAGTGCAGTTTTTCCTATTTCGAGAGTTACGTGTTTGGCGTTTAAAGATTACATGGATTCTTGTGGCGGAGAGAAAGTTCAAACTGACTTTTTGATGCTTAAAAATTGAAATTTGGAGGAACATTTTTCACAGAATATGTATTAAGACTAGTTTTACTTGAAATTATTAAGACCTTAATTTTTTTCAAAATCCACACTTATGCGCCTTGGCCTCCAAGCCCATCCCCCCCCTCCTACTGTTCTTTTGCGAGTATTGAATTTTATGAGCTTTTTGATTTTTTGGATCATTCTTAAAATTGTATCATTGCAAATTATCCCAAATCTTACATGGTTGCCAGCAAATTCTGTCTACTTAAGAAAAACTAGTATTGCCAAGTTGGAGCCCTCTTGACTACGAGCAATTGATGTTAGCAAAACACTGGGTCATTCGATTCTACGAACCTCATTGGCTGATTTTTCCTGAGACGCCTCTTTTAGGCAAAACTACTTAAACTGGAATATTTTTCATTAGCACTCAATGGACGTGGTTGGCAGATTCTTCCGCTCCTGAAAAGATCGACTAGCTATTTAAATTTTACTTCCCCTGATGTTACGCAGCTATCTCTGGCAATGCTTCTCTTTAAGCATTATTACTTACACTTGACCGGCGAAGTTTACGACAAACATTAAAAAAAATTCTTTACTGAAACATCACATTCTTAAACTAAAAAATTAAATGCAATGTGAAATAAATTATTACACCGAGAAGAAAAAAATTAAATATGATTAAACTACATTTTTTACAGTGAAAATTAGGAATAACTGTAACTTTACCTGGTATGTTGATAAGTAGCGCTAGGCGTTGAGACTTCTGGACCAGAGGGGAAATCCAAATTTTTCCCTGGGTAAGACCGAGGGCTACCAGCCATTAAGAACTCTGAAAGCAAAAAACAAATAATAATCAGTAGTCTGCTAGTTTTTAACCGAATTGAATTAAGCGAAAAAATCATTTTTCAGTGTCAATATATTGAGAGGTGTGATTCTTCAGTTTAAGAAGTGAATAGAGATTAATATATAGCACATGCACAGTTCAAAGAGCAATACATAAAACGCGACACAATTTTTTATCGAGAAAAAGATCTGCAGTTATTTGTTGTAATCAATGCAATACACATTGATTCGTTCATTTTTTAACCGATATAAATAAATCGATTTTCTCATAATATTAGATTTCCTTTTCCTTTCTTGTTAAAACGCCTGTTTTAAATTTGTAAAACAATATTTTCCAGAATAGAAGAAAACAACTGATAAATGAGAAAAAAAACTTCTGAGGTAAAAATGAAAAATCATAGGGAAGTCTCATTACTGATTTTGATGGGTGTACTGTTCATCGTTCCGACAAAAAGAAAACAATGGGGGTGAGATTCACTTATTGGGTGCGACGCAGAAAATTATGAGCTACACTTGTTACTTAGAGGGTGCTCATGATTGATAAAATATTTGAGCGCGTAATCATAATGGCGACAGCCCAGTCATTACGAAAATTATCCGAAGGGAGAGCCGATCTCCCCTTTGTTTGCATTCTTAATTATGAGCACAAAATTGTTGACATGAAAGAGGAATGATTTTTTAATGAGATTAATAATGACAGCTCGCTACATCTTCATGCATCATCCAAGTGATTAGGAAAACTTGATGGATGTAGTTATGGACAGTCGCTGGCGAATCGGTTTTGCCAGATTGGTGAAGAATTTTGTCCTTCTCATCACGACCCATCTTACTTGATGTTGACAGCAAATTTAAAAAGCAATCGAAGAGACATGAAGAGACCTTCAACATGTTTGAAAATAAAAGTATTGTAACCAAACTGGACTACAAATAAATTGTACTATACTTTACAGCTTCCTTATATCAGAATGGGTAGGAAAAAACGGTAGATTCACAATCCCAACCCTTCATTTCATAAGTGAGGAAAAAACACGTGCGCAAAGGATCATTATTTTTGGTTCATTAGTACAAGCACCTTTGTGCATAGGAAACTAATGATTCACAAATTAAATCCAAAATGAGTTTTCCATTGTAAAATTTAGTCCAGTTTGTTGTTGGTGTTACAATTTCTCTTTATATTGCTCTTTTGATCATCAGAGTCAATCCTCGCCTCATTCTCCTTCTATTCATCATTTTAACTTCTCGGCAGGTATCTAACATTTTAGGTCTTTGAAAAAATCGCGTTTCCGAGGAATTTTTACTTACCTAAAATCATTGTAATCCATTAAAAGTTCATGTCAGAATAGACATAGCACCATTAATTCGACAAGGGGTTTCAACTTCTTGTTATCGGAACACCATGATCACCGCACTAAAGTTCGGATAATCGTTTCGGGGCAGTCTTTCATTCAACATCTTCAAACTTTACACCCTCTTGAAAAATTCTCCGTACATGATATTTGAGTGGACAACTCATGGAGCACCCAAAAAGTTTGGAGGACCCTTTAGAGAAGGCAGGCGGATTCCAAATTCGTTCTATGAAATGACAACTTTCAACTTGAGATACGTCGCCCGACAGGATGAGATTAAAGATAATTATGTGAGGGATATATACTAAAAATAGGGTTCTTTTGTCTGAATGTAGTCCAATTTTTATGCAAAGCCCAAATCTCTATCACCGTTTGAAAAAGGAGGTCATAGTAATTTTTAGGTCGCCACCTATATTCGCGAGTATAACAAGAGTTATTTTTCAAACCTTAGGTACTAAAGAAAATTGTTTTGTGAGTGGAGCCGTGGGGCCCAGAGACAAATACAATATCTCACTTAAATTCTGGGAATGATAGAAACTTTTTTCTTTCAAGAATCCAATATTTTTGTATGAGAAGCAGAAGTCATCTAGTCTTCGAGTTGCGGCTGTTGAGCTACGTGTTATAAGCAGTGTGCTCGATGAGTTAAGCAAACGTGGGATTGTTTGTTTAACGAATTGCTAAACACGTTCGTCAACAGTCGACGAGGAGGTGACTTCCGGCGTTGAATGGTGGAGCTCCTAAAGTAGAAGTCTCAACCTTGTAGTGAGGGGCCAACAGAGGGCTCCCAATTTGTCAATGGCGGTGCTGAGACCTGCTAGTCCTGCACGGGACAGGCTCCTTTACCTATCCTTAACCCTATATTTGAATCATTTGTAAGACGCTCGATGGACAGGGTGAGCAGAGTAAGACTTTCCAAAAGTCAAATTCCAAAGAGGGAATCAAAATTCAGAGTAAGTCAATTAGAAAGTCATTAAGAATGATTTTTGGCGGGAAATTTTTCTTTGAAACATCGTTTTGTTACTCAATTACAATTATTTCCTCACTGACCGTCAACCATTGGCGGATCCAGCAAATTGGCAACACAGTCTTTCCTCCATTTAAACCTATGGAAATGTATCGCTTCTTGGAGAACCAGGTGCTCTGGCAAGAATCGATTATTTAGCATAGGTTTAAATGCAGATAATCCGGCGTTGCCAAATTGCTGGATCCGCCTCTGCCGTCAACAAGCACTTTCGACGATTTCGCTAGTCGCGAAGCGGCCTCTGGGGGCGCGCAGCGCTCAGAGGGTTGGGCCGCATAGCGGCCAGGGGGCGGATCCTCCTGGAGTCGTATACTTCTATTACAGTGTACGCCACATAACTAAGGAGAGCTTTCAGTCTAGAAGACCAGAGTCGGTCAGACGAGAGTTGAAGTTCTTCAACTTGGAGAAAAGGCACTTTCCACGGCGCGGCGGGGCGGGGGTGGAGGGAGCTCAGCGGAGCGCGCCCTGAAAACGCTTGCAAATCAGGGCCCGTTAACCTGACGACGCGGTGCGGCGCCCCCGGCCGCTCGCGGCTGTGATAATTAGATCGACGAGATCCAGCATCATTGCTAAATCGCCCGATTCGAGGGCGCTTCTTCGTCGGCGGCGGCGGGATCCCGGGGCGGTTGAGCAACGGCGGGACCTGCGCTGCGGCATCGGCCACGGGCGATGAATCGTAACATTAATCACGCGGAGGGGCACGACACGTGATCACTCTCCACTCCGGGGCCTCATTGCCCAACGCCGCTAAATAACGGGATTTCAACCGCAGGCCCCAACGTCACTGCCATGTTGTTCCTGTGACGCCTTCAATTTTCAAGGCGTCAATTATAGACGTCAAATTGAAAAACAAAATAAGGAGACCATAGATATGGTCCTCCATGCAAATTTTGAATGAAATTGAATGAATAGATTTTGAGATGTGGCTGTATGGCTGTACACAGATTTGGGGGACGCCTAACGGACGGACAAACATTTTTTCAAATTAGGTTTTTTTTTTTTACTCCAGACACCTTCGGACGCCTAATAACGATGAAATTTCAACTTTCTTTTTGGATGACAATAGTTCCTCTACCCGCAAGGGGCGAGAGAAAGTAAAAATCAAGTGACAACGTGCAGTTGAAGAAAAGAGAGGCGATTAGGCCTCGTCATTTTAAATTTTCTCCCGAATCCAAACGACACCTCATTGGCAGCATAGTTCGGAGCACTGCAAGTTCACGCCTCCTGCCATCGCTCCTTCAATTTTGCAGATGCAACACGGACATCCATCAAGTACGAATAGTTGTATCTCTGCGCCGTCATAAACGCGCATCCTTTTCCTTGCTGCTCTATTTCATTGTTGTGTCGGTTCCGTTTGTCTTATTTGTAAAGGTGTTTCAAGGGCTACTTAAACATTTGATCATTGTGAAATCTCCATTTGCTATCGCATTCATGTTGGAAAACTGTTTCGACTTTCTGGTTGAAAATCTCACTGTTTTTTTCGGAGTACATTTTCATAGTGGTGCATCGAAAACTAAGTAAGCGACACAGCCGCGGATAAGAGAGATCTAATGATCTAATCGGGCCTAGTTTTTTGACTAAGCAAATGGCGATGTGAACCAATTTCGGACTTTCTGTAAATCTTGGGGATCCAAGGGTTAACCAACGTGTCACTTTTCAGCGACAATTTTTTAGATTTCACTAAAACTTGAATTTGATAGAAAATTCGACGCATGTCATTAGGTGATGAATTTTTTTTCATCATTAGATTTCTACCTGAGGAAAAGGAACACTTTAGTGCCAAAAATGGAGGTGGAGTGGAAGGCTTTCACAAGAAACCCAAAAAAAGAAAAAAAAATCCAAAAGTCCAAATTTAAGTCATAAAAATGTTTATTTTTGAAGGCCGATTTGATCTACGTTGATTTTGGTACTATCCCAATGAACTAAGAACTACTTATTTTACCTATTATTCTAATCCACTTATTCTTACGGATAGGTAGATTTAAAACGTTGCCAGCATTTTTCAAGAGTTGTTTGTGAATAATTTAACTTGCACTAATCCTGGTCCTTTTCGGGGATCCATTTCTGCGTGATCCGGCTGCCATGATTAGCGGCACACCTTTCATCGCTGCGACGGCAACGTCTAATGATATGCACGCGTCTCCCACCCCTTCCACACCTCCCACCCCCCGGTGAAAACTCCTTACCGGATAATAATTTCCTCGAGGCAACGCTCCTCTGAGAAAACCCCTAATGCGTTTCTGCCGGGAAAGCTTTTTTCTTGGACGTGGACGTAGCGCGTAGCACCGCGCCGCGGAGCGCGGTGTCAAAAGGAAAATTAGGCTTGTTTGTGGAGCCCCTCCGCCTCTCAAGTGATAATTGATGACTCGTAGTGTTGCCGAATTTCGCGCGATTTCGACAACTGCGAGATCAGGGAAAACGCCCTTGGAACATCTGGACGTTGCCAAATTTCTTCTCCTAAAATGGGAATTTTCTGCGAAACTTGTCAACGGTAAGACTACAGAACCACGCCACGTATTTTGATATCGGTGTTTCGAGAGCTTCGCGACTATTTTATTTTTTAAAAGGAGACCATACGAACATCGAGGCTTGGAGTTTTTACAGAATATTCTTTGGAAA